CATCCGGCCCCAGCACCTGCGGTTCGCGCCAGCGGGGAGGGCGCGGCGCGGGGGTGCAGCGCGGGGGCATGCAAATCTCAAGTCTCCTAGGGCAGATCCAGCACCTGTTCCTCCTAAACGTTGGAAGAGGAAGACTGAGTTTAGGGGTGGCCATAGTTCGGTGTCACGTGAGACGAGCTCCAGCTCCAGAGGCTCCTGCCTCCGACTGGGTGGGGGTCAGGGGATTGAGGGGATCCCTTAGCAGGTGCAAAGGCCCCGGGAGTTGGGTCTCATCTCGAGAAGGGCAGCATGTGCAAGTCCACGGAACACCTGCCCCCCGCCCCCTGTGACCCGCCACAGTCTGCTCTTGTCCAGGCTGAGGCCCTATTTTTGATTCCCACGTGAGATTTCATAAAAGCCACGATTTATTTCGAGGTGACACCGGAAGGATGGTGCCACGAACACTTCTGACACCCCAAGTCCGTTCGGTTCATGTATTTCATTTCAATTGAGTCCAATTCAACATATGGCTACTGGGCCCTACTACTTGCTGAGAACTGTGCTAAGTGTGGGATATTTGGAGAGAGAAGGTGGCACTGGATCCATTTCCTTCTGATTTATTTGGTACATGTTTTTATCTACTGATTGATTTGAGAGAGGGAGGGAAAAGAAGGGAAAGGGAGGGAGAGGGAGGGAGGAGAGAGAAAGAAGGAGGGAGGGAGGGAGAGAGGGAGAGAGAAGGAGGGAGGGAGAGAGAGGGAGGGAGAGAGGGAGAGAGGAGGGGGGAGGGAGAGAGAGGGAGGGAGAGAAGGAGAGACATGGATTTGTTGTTCCACTTACTGATGCGTTCATTGGTTGATGCGTGAATGTGCCCTGACCAGAGATTGAACCGGGATCTCTGGTGCGTGAGGAAGATGCTCTCACAGCCCAGCTGCCGGCCAGGCTGCACACTGATTTTATTCCAAGGACCTTCTCTCTTCCCCATGGCCCTTTCAATTCTTCCTTTCCTCTGAAGTTGCTATTTGAATATTTCATGCACAAATAACCAGATGGCTTTCAAGGCACTACTTGCATAGGAATATCCCGTCCATACCTTTGTCTGCACGCCAACACCTTGTTTTTCTCGAGATGATGGTTTTAAAAGTGTTGGGTCCCTGTATCCTCCTTGGGTTTCTCTTACAGGAAGTGGTTTCCTCTGGCCATGGTACTCACTGAGGGCAAAGCCTTGCCCTTGGGATTTTAGGGCTGAGACCCCTTTACAGTTTGTCATGTAGTGGGCATCCACTCTTTTACCAGTCGGGAAGTCAGCAGACAACGGGGCCCAACAGTGCCATCAGCTTCTAGGAATTCCTCTCTCTTACAGGCATTACCACACACACACAGAGACACACACCCCTTTGCATTTGGATTTAAAATGTTCAAGACTCCATCTTGGCCAGATTTCCTATCTCATGACCATCAATTCATTTGAATAATCAGCCAAATCATCCGCCTCCTTTCAGGGTCTAAACTAGATTTAAAAGATTGACGTTTCTTAAAACTCAAATGGAGTCTGGTTGCAACTGCATGCCCAGAGGGACCTGAATCATACACCAGTGGATAATGAAATACACTTAGATTTTATTAGTGGATAATTCATGCTCAGAATCTCGAAGCACTAATATAATTAAATAAGCAATGGGGAGAAGAAACTAAATAAAATTATTTGGGCATAAAATTATTTAGCTAAAGTTAGAGTGGAGGCGTGGCACTGTATTTTAAAACTCTTAACCTAGCCATTAACTTGTTGAAAGAGAAGAGAGAGCGAGAGCCCAGTGTGAGGCCTGGTGAGGAGGGAGGGCAAGAATCTGACCTTTTAGCAGCAGCATTACCACACAGTGGGGAGAAGAGTGGTGGTGTGTGCATTTATTGTGTCAAGAATCCGAAAAAGATGTGCACCCGCGTCAGCGTGTGTGAATGCATAAAGACCAATCTTCTCCCCTCTATTCAATGCACCTTAGAAGTAATGCACTTTAACCTCAACAATTTCCTCTCACTTTCTACTAAGTTACATAATAACATAAGGGTTTTTTTTTTTTTTCACAAAAGGCAGTGAAAAAGAGGTTATAGCATGGATTACCTTGAAAAATTTCAGTGTTTTTGATGTTTAAGAGTAACGGAGTCACAGCATTCTAGTTACAAATTAGGCATTGCTTTTCTTTCATGGAGACCAAATTATTTCTTATTACAGAGGTGACCTTCTTGGTTATTCTATTTGTGGAGGATTCTAGAAACTGAAAATGGAGCAAACTGAGCTCAAAATTCTGGGGAGTTGTTGGGGTGGGGAGGTGGATAGGGAGAAGCTTGTAGCTGGCATTTTAAGACCCTATTTTAACGTATGTCTAAAAGAAGCTTTTGAACTTTAACACATTGCAAATTATTTGATCGCCAGTCTGTCCACCCGGCTGGACAGGGAGTTCCTCCAGTGCAAGGACTGGTCTGATTAATGCATCTTCCCAGCCGCTCACCAGGCCTGGCACACAGTAGACACTCAAATGTTTGTGGAAAGATGCAATAGAGAGATAAAGCATAATATAAATATGTATGAGTTTCTATTAGGTCAATTGGAAATGAGAGACCCTGGTTCATAGGTGGAAACTCCAGGACAATGAGAAAAAAAACTCAGGGCAAAATAATGCAATTCATTAAATATTTCCTTCTCTATTCCAATTTTTTATTAACTTCATAAGTATGTGTATGTCCAGTGAAAGGGAGAATAACTTAGTTTTATAGAAATATTGACCAAAATGGGGTTCTTGTGTCTTCGAAATTAACTCAGATGGGGAGGGAGCTACGCTTTGAACCCCAAAGAGCATCTTTCCCTCCTAGTCAGTATTTAAGGACTGGAAGGACGTCGGTCCCAGGGAGACTACACCTCCCAGCGTGCCGCACACGTGTCCGGGAAGGCGTAAACCCAGTCTTGGCGCGATGCTCTTTGGGAGTTGTAGTTTTCACTCGGTCAGCACTAGCCGGGGGTGCCTCAGCTCAGGGGCACTGCGAGACCACGTGATCGGAAAAGCGGCGGTTTGCCTTTGAGCCGGAAGAGGATGACTGGGTTGACCGACGTCCGAAAGGACCAATCGTCTGCCTAGACTGAGACGTTGGCGTTTGAAATCAGCCAATGGCAGGCGAATCCTCCCCGCCCACCTGGCCCAGCCCGCGAGAGCTCGGAGCGCGGCGAGGCGGCGGGTGTGGCGGCCCAGTTGATTCTCCGGGGAAGTCAAGGTAGCGGGCCGGGCGGCGGGGCGCACCAGCGGGCTCCCCGGGCGCGGGGCTGGCGGGGCCGTCCGCAGGGAGCCCGCTTCGCTTCCATCCCTTTCCTTTCATTTTAGGAGCTTTTAGCCCCAGGGGGAGGGGCCGAGGGGCG